GTGCTGGGGGACACTTGGCCTCGATCTCAAAGGTCTCCCCACACCCCAAATGTCTCTGTGACCCAGGGAACTGCTGCTCACCTCCGTGGGGATCTCCACCAGCCCAAACTGCTCGTTGAACTCTGGGGAGGAGCCCGTGAGCAGCCCCACGATGGCCAGTGCTGAGAGGACGATGCTCCAGAGCAGAGGTTTGTTCTCCTGCAGGCTCTCCATGAAGGGATGGCCCTGAAACAGAGCAGGGGAACCTCAACGCCACCAGATTTGGGGACGTGCAGCCATCTGTGACCTTTTGGGACACTTGGGTCAACCCAACGTGGTGGAAGGAGGTTTTTTTTTCCCTCAAGAGTAGTGACCAAACCTCCTTTGGGATGAGGGAAGAACTTTGGGGGATGGTGTTCAACTGAAAGAGGGAGGTTTGGAGTAAAGAGGAGGAAGCCTGGAGAGGAGAAGGCTCCAGGGAGACCTTTTTGGGGCCTTCCAGTGTCTGAAGGGGGCCTACAAGAAAGCATGGGAGGGATTTTTTGGAAGGGCTTCTAGTGACAAGGACAAGGGGTGGTGGCTTCAAAGTGGAAGAGGGGAGATTGAGATTAGAATTAGAATTTAGGAAGAAGTTCTTCCCTCTGAGGGGGGTGAGACCCTCCCAGGGAAGCTGTGGATGCTCCACTGGGGGTGTTGAAGACCAGGTTGGACAGGGTTTGGAGCAACCTGGTCTGGTGGGAGATGATTTTAAGGTCCCTTCAACCCAAACCATTCTAGGATGAGAAATTTTGGAGGCTGAGGGTGTTGAGATCCTGACCCAGGTTGCCCCGAGAGGTCCTGGAACCATCCCAGGGGAGGTTGGACTTGAGCCACCAGCTCTAGTTGGGGCTGTCCCTGCTCCCTGCAGGGGGTTGGACTCGATGGCTTCCAAGGTCCCTTCAGCCCAAACCAGTCTGTGGCTCTAGGAAATGGCTCCTCAGGAGCCCCTGGAGATGGGGTGACCTTGAACTTGCCTTGTAGTTGATGGCGAAGGTGGCCATCTGCATGGCCATGGACATGATGTAGACCGTGCTGTTCACCAGGTTGGGCTCAAACTCCTTGTACAGATCCACAAACTCCTCCTGCCTGCAAGGGAAGGGAGCAGCTGGAGGTGACTGGGCAGACTGGGAGGCCCCAGGCACGCTGAGGTCCCCTCCGTGGGCTCCAGGGGTGGCCGTGGAGCTGCAGATGCTGCAGGATTGGGGGATCATTGAGGGGCTGCTCCACAAAATCAAAGTCCCGTGGAGAATAATCAAGATTTTGGGTGATTTTCTTCATGACTTCCCAGGAATCCACCTCACTGCTCTTATTTCTGCTTCCCCTCCCAGCGTGGGGAGACGTTGGAGCTGCACCAGAGCGTTGGGGCTTGGATGAGATGACCACTAAAGTTCTCTTCCAACCCAACCCACCCCAAAATTCTCAGATATCCCCCCCCAGTTCCATCACACCCTTGCCAGGCCGAGCTGCTGACCAAGGCACAACCCAACCCACGCTCCTCCTGGAGGTGTCCAACCCAATGAACCACTGGTGCTGGGTGTGGCCTCCACGGGGGTGGGAGAGGCTTTT